TGTGGAAGGCTTGTTTTTTAATGTATATATTTAACTTTTAAAAATAGATTTTATTTTTTCTCAGGTGTGTCTTGGTAGTTTGTATCTTTTAAGGAATTGATCCATTTAATCTAATTAATTGAACTCATAGGCATAGATTTGTTCATAGCATCCCCTTATTATTCCTTTAGCTCCAGGTTGAGCTGTTGTTCAGCATCTTAGCTGTAGAGGGCGCAGTGTCACTGGCCCTCATGTGGGATCAGAACCGGGGCCCTGCTGCTCCGAGCTGGTGTCCCAAGCCAGCTCTTAACCAACGCGCCACTCGGCCGGCCTCCAGAGGCACAGTTTTTAAAAGTGGAGTAATCGAGTTCTGGGAAGATGAAACTGGCATTTGACTTGAGGATATACTAAAAGGGGAGATTGGAGCAACTGCTGTAATTAAAGACGTATACATGCAGCACTTTTCCATCCAGCTTGCTAGTACCATTTTGATGAAACCTAAAAAGTCATTTCTCCTCTAGTTTGTTGGCTGGGGAGCAGATTCTCAAGGAGTAGGTTGGAAATGTACGTGTTGTGGCTCCCTTCTAAGATACCTATCTTTTGTGTGGACTGGTGTAATTGTCTGGAGCCGATTTTCCAAGGAATGTGGTAAAGCGCAGATCTAGCTGAGACTACTGAGTGGCCATATGGTAACTAAATCAAAAGGAAAGCAGTTTGCAAAGCTCTCAGCTGGGGCGCTCTGTATCTGAATTACTATTTCCCCGGAAGACCACCCAGTGGCACCCAGCCTGTTCCCAGGTTACCTGCCAGTTCCCAGGTGAGGACTCTGCCGTCATTGCGTGCTGCCTGCTCTTCCTGGCGTGGGTCTAGCCTCTCCAGCCCCCCACAGAATCACTCCTGTGGTTTAAGTTCGGCTCTCTCGGATCAAGTCTCTGTAGTATTTGAACGGTGTTGTGTAGCATCGACTTACTATGAGAACGAGCCATCACGAAAAAGCAGCATTTTGTCACAGTGTTTATGAATCGAACAGGTTTTTGTTTTCTTGTTTTGCTAGGGTTTGGGAGCTCTAACGTTTTATTCAGTGGTAGCCTCAGAAGGCGGGTTGGCATGTTTAGAGACTGCTATGGACTGAGTGTTTGTCTCCCTGAAAACCCCAGTGTGACTGTACATGGGAAATGGAGCCTCAGACAGCGTTAGTGTCCTTATAAGAAGAGGTGCCAGGGGCACAGCATGGAGGAAAGGCCGCGTGAGGACACAGCGAGCAGGTGGCGGTCGGCAAGCCAAGCAGGGAGCTCTCACCAGAAACCGCGCGGGCGGAGCCGGGGCCTGGGACTTGCAGCCTCCAGGACTGTGGGAA